CGCTCCGCTCTGTGCCCGCAGGGCCGCCCTTCCCAGCGCTGCCCGGCGCTCGCTGCTCATGGGGTCTGTGTATGAAGAGCCAGCCGTGTGCCCTGCTGCTCCCACCAGGAGCTCTGGCAGCAGGTCCGGGCAGCGACAGGGACCGGGCGTGTGGGCTCCGGCAGCAAGGGGGGTCCCTCTGCAAAGCAGGGGGGCTGTGCTCCCCTCCCCTTGGCACTGGAGCAGAAACAGTCTGCAGCTCCTTTCACCCAGAGGCCTGGCAATGCCACGCGTGCAGGAGTTTTGTCTTGACATTAATCAGAGCAGACCAGCCTGTGATTTATTAACATCCTGTCAGAATTTGCATGTTGAGTACTTGGGGGGTTTATATATATATATATATATATATGAAATTGTTCCTATTACTATCCTTGACTCACTTTTATGGCTTCCAGTTCCACAGCAGATGAAGCTGTTGAGAACCCCAGACAGGTAGTTAATTCTCTTCTGCATGCTGAGCTGCTCGTGATGGCTGGCAGGCACTTTTCTTCACAGAGCAAGAAAACATTTCATTTCATGTATCTGCTGTCATGTTTCAGGCAGCAGTTCCAGCCTGATGTGCTGTTACCTAGACAGTCCATTGGAGGAGTTTGCTCGAGGTCTGGGTGTCAGAGCCCAGCCTCTGCAGGGCTGGCAGGCAGGTCTTCAGGAGCCAAGTGCTGGAGGGTGTTACTCCAGTCAGTGCTTCCTTCTCTGGCTGAACACTCTGAACAGCCCTGGTCTTACTGGGGACACACAGGTCACCATTTTGCCTAGATCTGCCATCTAAGCCCCTGTGCCAAGCTCTGCTCTCAGTGTTGGCCCCGTGCTCGAGGCCACCTGAGCACCCCCCGCTGGGCACCGCAGCAAACCGAAGGCAAGGGCAGGGCTTGCAAGGCAGCAATTCTTTAAAATCGATTCATTATTATTGCTAGTGTGTTCTTTAAGAGCATTGAATTCCTAGTGGAAGTGAAGGAACTCTAGAGCCCAGGATAAATGTGATATGTGTTTATTTTCTTTTCCAACACAAACAGTATTGAAACAGCCAAAACAACAATGTAGCCTATTAAGCCAAATATTTCATTATGGGAACACTGAGTTTTGACAATGAAACTTCTTACATATTTGAAAATGCATTGTTTATCTTCCAGGGAGACCTGGCTGTCAGATCTGTAGGTGCCCCCATGTCCATCTCTCCTGTGGTGTCCCCCAGACCTGGGCTGGCAGGTGGGGGGGACGTGTGCCACAGCCCCCCTGCCCAGACCCGTGGGTTCCCTCTTGCTGCTCATGTTGGCCCTGCAGAGCTCAGCTCCTGCTGTCCCCGAGGACGGCGGATCCAGGAGTCTCCACCAGCCCCGGTTTGATCAAATGTTTTGATGGTTTTACTTAGATATTTACATAGCTGGAAGCATTTTGCTGCAGCTTGGTGTTATCTTTGATGGTTAATTGTCCTGTGATGCTCGTGCTTTGGAGTAAAGCTGCATCCACCCACAGTTTAATTTTTGACCACAGACAAGCAAAAAAGGGTTTTAAAACCACCTTGCTGCAATAATCTCTTAGCCATTCTTCATAATGGCTTAAATGTACTTCATGAGCATTGTTCTCTGAGGAATTTCTAGCCCACATAGTGCAAAAGGAATATTAAATTCTGCTCAGACTGTAAAGCAAGCCTTTTGCTGTCATTAAAAGAGCTCTACTTACTTGGATAGCCCCTGGTCTAGTAGTTGCAGGCTTTTGGGGTCATTTGATGGCCTCCTTGTGCCTCGGGTGCTGCTGGGTGTACAGCCCTACACTGCAGGATCTGTGCAGGAGATAATGAAAAAAATCGTATTCAGGGCTTAAATCTTTTTTACATAGAGAACAAGTTTCCTTTGATGTTGCACAGCACCAGTCAGGCTGTGGTGGAGTATGGGCACACTTCCCCCTCAGTGCTTGTGATGGGCAAAACCAGGAGCACTGGACAGGGAGAGGCTGCATTGCTGCTCCAGCAAAGAGATGGCTCTGCCTTCTCTGTGTATGCATCCTCCAAAGCATTATCACTTAAATGACAAGATAATGTGAAACATTTGGCTTTTTTTGGCTATAAAGTGCACATGGCAGAACTAATCAATTTCGAATGATCATCATCAAGCCATTGCCACAGAAATTAAAAAAAAAAAAAAAAAGAAGGCTTTTCCCATTTTTATTAGATTGCTCTAGAGCAGCTCAATGTGTAACATTCTCATGCTTTGCTGCCCCTGGGCAGTCTGGCCCCTCTGCCCCAGCAGGGGATTACCACCCTGCTCACCTTGAAATGCTGATGACCAGAACTGGCCTTTCAGATACTTTTTTCATGTCTTTTTTTTCACAGCAATTACACTGCTGGTATCTGTGTCTAGACGTGCTGTAAAAACAAGGTGCTGGGCAGAATAACCAAGCGGGTTGGGGTTGCTCTGCACTGGTGACCTGGCTGTGCTTCTACAGGCTTCTCCCAGGAAATGCAGAAACATTGCAAACTGCCTGGTGGGATTTTTACTGACACTGGTTTTTTTTCAGCAGGTGAAGTAAGTTTAAAAATACCTTTTCAAACTGTCACGTCTTTCAGGGGAAGGCAAATTCATGAGATTGGCATGAAGAGTTCAGGATTTTTAACTTTAGATAAGAAAATGTTCCATTTGTTCTTTGAGGGGACAGGAGAAGTGGTGTCAGTGTGGCAGGAAGGGACATGTCTAGGGAAGAGAGGTGGGACCAGAAGCTCTGTCAGCTCTGTGGACCTGTAACAAGATAGTGAGTTTGTCCTGTGGAAAGGGACCTTCCACACCTCGTGGGGGAAGTCAAATAAGACAAAATCCTGACGAGCATGAAATTGTCAGTCTGCCACGAAAATAATTTTTGATGTACATTTTGTCTGAAGAATATTATTCATCTGCAGGCAGCGTTGGCCAGTTCCAGAGGATGCCTTTTGTAGGTAAGGAATAAACATGGGGGGAGCACATTTCCAGGAGCTCAGCTGCTGGAGCAGGTGGAGAACCTTGCCAGATTTGTCCTGGAGCAGCTGGCTCTGCTCTCTCATTGCCAGGAGCTGGATTACCTTTTCTTTCTTGCAAACCTAAGGCTAGGGTTAATCTGTGCTTTGGCTGGGGCTGATCCTGCTTGGCCAAATCCTGCCGGGAGTGGCTGTGCCGCGGGGCTGGGCAGCCTTCCCCAGGGAGCATCCCTGCTGCTCCTGGGCTTGTGTGACCGTGGTGTCCTGGGAGCTGAGCTGTTGGGCCTTTCCCTGGACACTGACCTGTGTTTTGAACGTGCTGCCACCCCTTTCCTGAGGAGCCGTGGATCTCTGCCTCCCTTCAGGCCACGTCCATCACTGCACTGTAAATGAGAGCTCTGCCCCACAGAGCTGGTCCCTGGGGAGCAGGGAGCGTTTGGTGGCAGTTGACATGACAGACAATGAAAGAGGGAACCCTGATGGGGACAGGGGGCAAAGCAGTGGAACAGCAGCAGTTCCTGCCTTGGTGTTACCTCACCATGGTCCTTCTCTGCGTGGCTGGAGGCGGCAGGACATAGAGCATGGGTGGTGGGAAGGGGCCACGCTGGTTCCCTCCACTCCCCAACCACTGGGAAAATGAGGTTTACAGCTCGAGGCAGGATTAGTGCCTCATTAACTCTGGGAAGGGGAAGCCTTCACCAGACAAGGAAAGAGAAATCAAGTGTCATGTGTGCTTTGAGTGAGTGGGACCGGGTTTTTTCAGAGGGTGCCTGCTAAAGGCAGAAAGAAAAAATTAAGATAGATTTTGTTTTAAATGAAAAATGACTGGCATCCCCCCCTCTTTCCTGAAAGCAGAAAGTAATTTAATTTATTAGTGGTTTATTTTATTTGACAGCCTTTCTATGTACTAGATGTGGTTTGTTACACTGAATTACCCTTTAATAATGGGTATGTATAATACCAGAGCCTGCCCTGCAGGTTGGCTCTGTAATTGAAGACGGGATGCTCAGAGGAGGTCTCTGTGCTGGTGAGGATTGCCATGGTAATGCTGGTGGGAGCCGGGTGGCTCAGCAGACATGGGCTTGGTGACTGTGTGCTGAAAAAACAAAAGAGGTTTCAGTTGGTGTCATGTTGCCCCATTTCTTAGGAGCTTTGACTTCTCTGTCACTGACTGTGGCCACCCTGAGCCTCTCCTGCCATTGCTGCCAGATTTCTGCTGTTGTGGGATGAGATCCCCCAGCCAATATGTGCTCCCAGCCTATTCCTGGCTGCTCCTGCCTCCAAATGCCAGTGCTTTCAGGTTGAAATACTTGTTGATAGCCTTAAGCAGCAGCTCCCAGCACATGGTGAGAAGGGGCATGGACACTTGCAGGTTTCCATATTCCAGTGCAGATTCTCACTGCGATAGCAGATAAAAAAACCTGCCTTAACAACCTACTCACACATGAACAGGTTTGTTCCTCTTGTGGGGTTTTACCTGGTGATGGACTAAGTTTCATATATAATAAAAGCTCCCCAGTTTGGCTGTGAAGTAACATGTGGAGAATTTCCTTGGCTGCAGAGTTTCCCCCCACTCTGGTCGGGTGCAGCTGCCCCATGGGCAGGAGCTGTGTGGGTGCTGGGGGTGCAGGTGGCTGCTCTGCTGCGGCTCAGCCCAGCGGTCCCACTGCTGGGCACTGCAACGTGGGCTGGGGAGCTGCCAGGCCCTGGTGGGGACTGGCCTGGGGTTTGGCTGCGAGGGGTGGTCGGGCTGCTCAGCATCATCTTGCTGAGTGAAACCCTCTGCCAAAGCCTTTCCTGTTCTTGTCTGTGCCCAGGAGGTCTGGAGTAGCCACCAAAGCCTTTCCCTCGGCACGGCCGCCACGTTTCCAGGGTCTGAATGGCAGCCTGGCCCCCCAGCCCCAGGAGCTCAGCACCCATCCCTGGCTGGCTGAGCGAGCCCTTCTGTGGCAAACGAGGCATCATTGCCTGTGTCAGGCTGCATTAGCAGCCAGGCTCCTCACATTAAGCTCAGGCTCCGAGCTGGCAGTCCCGGTGCTCCAGTGTCACTCAAGCTGGCTGTCACACTCCCATCCCCACCTCTGCAGCCATGTGGGAAATCTCTTTGGGCAGCACACAGATAATACACTGAGTAATGAAGTGGCTGGAGGGGATGGCTGGCTGCAAGCAGCAGCACAGCCTGACACCCTCCTCCTGCCCTGCCCTCAGACACTGTGTTGAAGTCATTGCTGACACCTCACATGGGCTGCTCTTGCTGCGCCTCCCTCCCCCAGTGTTTACATGAGTTATACTTCTTATTAATCTAAAGGCAAACGTGTATATCTTAGTTTCCAGTCCCTCCATCTGTCCCTGTGCGGGGTGTCCCTTTTGCCTGTCTCTTCTCATCTCTTACCTCTGTCGCTTCACAGTGAAGCAAATGCAAAAAAGCTAAAAGAAAAAATCTGTGCTGACCTGGGTCTCTCAAGAAATGCATTTCTGTTAGAATTCAGGTTCTGGTTAACAGGGACAAAACAGTGCAGAAATGGATTTTATTTTGTTTCAAAGAAGGAAGAGTTGCTGCAGCAGAGATTCCAGCCTGGTCAGCTGGGCTGCTGCTGCCTCCCAGCAATCCAGCCACGCTGCTGCCTCTTTTCAAATGTGAAGGCTTTTGTGTCCATGTGCCCTTCTGTCCCTGTGCTCAGGAAGGTGCTGGGTTTCCTTGGAGAGAGCATGTTGAGAGGCAGGTGGACAGAGTCCTGGCAGCCGCTGCTCTGCAGGTCCATTGGACGTCCCCGTGCCAGCTGCTGGCGTGGGTCGGATGGGGCACCAGACCTGTCCCAGGGTGCTGACTTCTGCTTCCCATCCCACAGGTACCTGTGCTCCGGCCCATGGACCTGATGGTGGAGGCCACCCCGCGGAGGGTGTTTGCCAATGCTCACACCTACCACATCAACTCCATCTCCGTCAACAGTGACTACGAGACCTACATGTCGGCCGATGACCTGAGGATAAACCTGTGGAACTTTGAAATCACAAATCAAAGTTTTAGTATCCTTTGGTGCATGCTG